CCAAATAGATGGTATGGAACCTCCAAAAGATTCCCCCAGAGCTAAATCGAACAACAATACTAGAAATGAAACTCACGGCATGCATTGGGTGCTGTTACACGTTACTACGTTCGACACAGTAACGATAATCCCTTGCAAAGGGACGGTAAACGTAGAAGGGATACCCATCATCACCTGAACAGCAATGACGATGCCTCGTGCCATCCCCTGAACCGACCTGTGAAGGATCTCTTGAACTCGCCAGTGCTACAGAAGACCAGTTCATCCTCGACCAACTCCTCACATGAGGTTACATACTGGTCGCAAATGAATACCTAGCGGAGAACTAGTTCAGCTGAGCTGAACTTAGCGCGGTGACGCACAGCATTGGGCGGGGCGTGAAGTTGTAACATATGGTCTAGCCCCCAGATGACCGGCTGAACCTCCTGTGACACGGGACAAAGATGAGCTTGTTGCGCAATGGCTCGCAAAAACTGACAGTTCATCACACTTCATAAAAATATAACGGACTAGTGTTACTTCTCTGTTCGTGATCATTTGCCTCTCCTCCTTTGTACCAGCCCTTGTGCTTTCCAGTTGTCTTACGATGCAGTTGCTGTATAGTTTACGACATACCTACAAAATTATCTCATACCACTCATCGAAAACAACATGGAGACCTAGATTTGTCACTACGCTGTGAAGCCGTCTACGGAGAATTGAGTGCAATGAAGAACCTAGCAACCCTACCTTTTTGCAATCTTCCGAACACAGATATTACTGTGCTCGGAACATATACACACATTATTATATTGACAGAAATGGTAACGATACGCGAGGCTAAGGACCTCGATGGGCGTGGCAGTTCCATTTCTTCACGAGTCACTACGTCTAGAGGTATCCATTAGACGCAGCAATGATGGCCGATCAATAAACCGTCTGGGCATACCAGGTTGAAGGATGCTTACGATCAGTCATAACACACATCGAACACACGCCTCACATCTGGCGACCGGAACGCAATGAAGTCCGCTTTGTTGGAGAGGTCGCTTCCGTGCTCCTCGACAACTTGTCCTCCCAAATCCATACGTATCCTCACCGGGTTGGAGCACATATGAACGCCCTTGAATTTTTCTGAGGTACACCACTAAACCCGCGAGAAACCGAGCCACCATACTTGCAATCCTCTCCGTAAGATAGTCCCCAAGGGCAGGAATCGGCAGGAGACCTCCGATGCCAGCAGGATCGTCCGGGCCGGGTACGAATACAAGCTGGGAGTTGGCCATAGTTTCTGAAAATGGACAGTAGAGGGATCGAACCAGGAACCTCGGGCATGTGCAATCCACATCATTCCCTAATCTTACTCGGGTATTGTTCCAATTCTTCCGATAACCGAGCCCAGCATGCTCTATAATCTCTGACACTTTTCGCTGACTGACAGAAAAGCCAATGCCACTACTATACCCACTCATCCTTCATTCTATTATAGAATTTCTATAGCTTCTCATACCAAGTATGGTAGAGCTAATTCTAATAGTATATTCTAAAAACGAATCGAGAAA